TGTCAGTCACATGACCTCGGTGAAGCCTGTAGTCTCCCACAGAGCTGAGTTATTCTTTATCTAATCTGAACTGAGAAACACTCTCACTGCTGTACAAAGTTTCTATAGGCAATAAGGTTTTCCTGGCTGTAGATAGTGGAGTGTAAAGAGGAAACCTTGAACCTAGATTTGAACTGGCCTGTTGTTGATGCTGCAGAGATTCACTGTGGATGAATATACAGAGACAGCATTGTGTTCACTGAAAAATATTGACTTCTTTTGTGCACAGGCGTGCGGCACAGTCGCATTAATCCACAGACCTGTTTGCCGTGAACGTGAACGACGCAGAGCTGCTGGGAGGCTGCAGCTGAAGGCCCCAGCCCCGATCAAAGTAATTGAATGACTTTGTAAAGCTGCGAGCGGAGCAACTTCCCAGCGGGGACAGATCAGAGGAAGCTCAGCCGAGGTTATTGTTCTAAAATCCCTCCGCTGCTCACAGCACGCCCTCCTTACATCCCAATTTCTCCCTCCAGCATCACTACTCTGCTGCTGACTGCAGAGGGGAGCTCAGGGAGGAGTGAGTGAGCAGCACAACCTCTGCAAACTGCAAGGTCGTTCGACTCTCTCTTCACTTAATCCAAAAACAAAATGAAAACAGAGGATCGGGGGTTGAGTTTCCTTGGAGTGCTCAGACTCGTCATCATTAAAACAGACACTGCAGCAGCTCTCTGACAGTAAACCTGCTGCAGCTCCCACACTTCCTCTCTCTGACACATGTTGAAGTCTCTGCTGTCAGAAATCTCACACCAGTATAATCCAGTGTCAGAGTAATGCTAAGCTAATGGTCGTTATCAGGAGGTGAGCAGTGAGCAGCATGCAGAGCTGCGTGTCTGACGGGGAGAGGAGCCGAGGGGATGAGTCAGCGGAGGAGACAGTCTCTGTCGACTCACTTATTCACATCAACATCAAACCCCGACTCCAGCATCACCAGCACCAAGTTATCCTCAGAGACTCAGCATGGGGCGCAGGCAGATTACTGCAGCACACTCAGCGTGAACCCCAACCGCAGAAACACAGAACTGGTCCATAATACATTTAGATTTGTCAAAGACTTTGCTGGATTTGCAGGATTTCACTCTGTAAGAGGGTTTATGTTCAAGGGTTTGGACCATAAAAACTTGTTTTTTTTTAAATGCACCTTTGTTGATGTTGAGTAAAGATCATCAGGTCTGTGAGGGACAGCAGGAGTCTGTGCTGGACATCAGGGGAGTGGAGGGGGGCTGACAGGACTTAGACCACAAGGACTCGATCATACATGTGATGCAAAGCACTTTGGTGTGCAGTTCAAGTGTTAGTGTTATTTTCCACCTGATGCTCTTGTTCTTTCAAATGAGGTGTGGTGAGGTGCAAAGGGGGTGTGTTTGCAAAGAGCATCTTTACATGAGATGTAAGTTAATGTGAGATCAGTTTCAGTCACATTTCAGTCTTTTCTGCTTCATAGTTGAGGTTTTGTTCCAGACATATTAGTTATTACTTTTGGGTTTCTGTAAGGACGTTTAATTAATCAGTCAGAAATTAGTCTCAGGGTTGTCCAGTCTGTTTAAAAATGGCCTTGTTTCATTTTTGTACATTAACCACAAACAGGATAACAGGTTCAAAGACTGGATGGACAGATGAGTTCATGCAAACAAGGGTGCAAACAAGACCTGCTGGTGTTCATGTCTTCATTAATTCATACCATTAGTTTTATGATTAAATCATGAGTATTGAAGATAGCTGACACAGCTCTGTAATTGTTTTTCATAAACTCCAGAAATAATAGGATGCACTGCGTACAGAGAGCTGCTTCATGAGGTGACATTTTCAATGTTGTTGATGATAAATCCTGAATCTTAGAGCTCATCGTCAGACGGGATAATGAGTCTGAACCTGGAGACAGAATAATCCGAGATCTTGACCTTAAAGACATTCAGTCCCGGTTTTCTTTGAAATTAGACCTCATTATGTTTGGAGGTTCAGTTTCAGGGATGGGAGCTGTACGGACTTTTAAAAGTGTTTTTTCTTTAACCTTTTGTTAACTGGGGGATGTTACAATAAACAGTTTTGATCATGTAAAACATTCAGGTCTCTTTTTCAGAGCAAACGCTGAATCTTAAACCATTTTAACCTTTTAATCTCATATCAAACTATCTCTGACAGGATTTTTTAAACTAAAGGTTTGCGTTTAAAGGATCAAAAAGAGTGAACAGGACAGATTATGGGCTTAAAATGTATTTTCTAAAGGTTATTTTATTCTTTGAAACATTTAGAAATAACATTATTATTTAAATTACACTGAGGGGGCCAATAATTCATTCATGCAGACTGGGGCACATTATTTAAACTCAGCAGCTTTGCTCTGCTCTCCAACACGGCACACTCACTCTTTAAATCGTGCTGTTTTCCCAGAGCTTTACTTATTATCCCGACCCATGTTTGAATACCACTGAGGTTAAACTGATGGATGTCCACACTATCTCTCAGCTAACTTAAAAATCATGACAGTATGTTGGTGTAATCCCTGGTCAGGTTTTCCAGCTTCTCTGAACTCATCTTCATCTTGACCCTGACATCACACTCAGTCGTCCAGGACATCCTCATAGCTGTTAGTGCTCACCACTTCACTGAGGGCTCCTTTGGAAACAAAGACTAAGACGAGCTGGATCTGAGTCTCAGCTGTTACTGAAACCTGGAGCTGATCTTCTACAAAGACCTTCATGAAGCTCAAAGACACAAACTGGAAACAACATTAAAACAGCTGATAATGGAGCTGTAGCTGTGTAAAAAGTAACACCACAAAGCTGTGTCTGACTTTTTATCAGAGTTGAGTCAGAGTTTCAGTCAGAGGCTAAATGGAGCTGAAATTAAAGTTTATACAGACTCCAGTAAGAGATAAATTAGAAGTTTTTAGAGCTGCTAACCTTGCTAAGCTAATCTACAGGTGTCTCAGACTGACAGTCTCCAAACACCAAGCATGAGTAAAATCATTCCCGCCAATGAATTACAAGTTAAGTCAAAACAAAGACGCGATTAGGCGCTCTTACTTCTCTGGTGGCGCGAATTATGCTAATTAGGCGGGAGCTGAAAATGTCTCAACTTGAGCAGATATTCCTGTCGGGAAAACTAATCAGCACGAAGGTTGACGGATGACGCATGAAAACTGACGTTTTTTTTCACTGGTATCTAAAATGGAGGACAAACAGATTTTTGTCATTGCGTGGGTGCCCTTAATTATACGATTCCTTTTCTTTCAATTACCAAAACCGGAATAAAAAGGAGCTCGCCAAGGAGGCAAGTGAGTGAGGAGGTCGGATTACCTGGTAAATTGTAAAAAACCTTTGTCTAACACTTGATTCTGCTGGTTGAATTGGCAGGGATTACCGTTGAAATTACCATTGACGAGCAAATGAAGCAAGTACATACTATTCATTCAAGCGTGTAGAATCGCACGAATTAAGCGAGTAGAAGATTTTACTCACGCTTGGTGTGAGCACCCCATATAGTGGAAAGATTACCAGGAGAAATCAAGCATAATAGGCATCTTTTTCATGTATTTTATATATTTATTTAGTGGAAATATTCACATCTCAAATGAACACTAAGCAACTAAATTGGCGCTATTTCTATCACTAAATAGCTGTTTCATTTATAGAGTCCAACGCAAACTTAGTGCAAAAAGACCAAAATCATGAAATAGAAATGTCTTTTCAGCTGTAATCACTATAATTAAACCTTTAAAAACTCAAACTCTTCAGCTGTGAGGAGTGAGGAGGAACTTTGGTCTCTCTGAGGGAGCTAAATGTTTTCCATACGCTTAATTTAGTGAATAACAGAATGAGAGGGGGTTATTTTGAGTGTGTGGGCTGTTAATGTGCGTGTGTGTGTGTGTGTGTGTGTGTGTGTGTGTGTGTGTGTGTGTGTGTGTGTGTGTGTGTGTGTGTGTGTGTGTGTGTGTGTGTGTGTGTGTGTGTGGGTTTGTGCAGATCTATTCTTCTGACTTTTGCCTCTGATGAAGCTGATGTTGCAGCTTTCTGTGTTTGCAGTGTTTTGACATGCCGTGTTACATAAGCAGCTCTGACAATGAAACAACTCTGCGCAAACTTCAGTCACTCTGAAACTTTTAGATTCTGGTCCAGAGAACAAAAACGGATCACTTTTGGTTCGAAGAGGTTTGTGACACAGTAAATTAAAGTTGATACGATCTCTGTCCGGGAGTCTGAACGCTCACAGAGTCACAGAGGGAGGAAAAGTCTCTGAGGGTGAGCAGAGAGGGTTTATATGAGGACTGATCCTAGACACTGATATCACACTGTTTCATCACCAGGTCTGAAGAGCGCTCCTTAAAACTACATGATACCACATAACTGCCTCATCTGCGCTCATGAAGTCTCTCTCAGGAGGTCTAAAAATTCAGTTTACATGCTTTTCTTTATAGCTGCCTGTATGTTGGCACTCTGCTTTACTTCAGAGTTATTGTTTCATCCTGTTTATTGATTTGAAGTCCGGGGTTTCCAATCAACCAGCTCGCAGAGATGTTTAGGTAATAAAACACTCTGACCCTGTGAGATAAAGCGGATAACAAAGACTGAGAGCGGAGCCAGAAACCTCATGATCAATATAACAGAGAATAACTTCTGCATAGACGAATATAAATTCAATGAACTGCTCTAAATCTGCAGGATACAGCAGTGAGGGAGTTTCCTGGTTTGTGTCTGTTTGCAGATGCTGTGATATAATTCCTCATAAAAGTTTAATTCCAATAATATCTGGTAATTAAATCAGCCTTTTTAATAGTCCCTTACATCATGGAGAAATCCCTGATAGAACAGTCTCTGCCGGAGTTGTAATATGCACAGTGATTAGGAGTTGAGTTTGTCTAATCCTCTGAAGGATTGTGTAATGCTGGAAAGCCTTCCAGAGCAGAGCAGGACCACAGGAATCCTCCTCAGAGGATGTTAGCTTCTCCTATCCCTAATCTCCACCTACACCACATCTCTGAGAGCGACGTCCAGGCGTGGCTGCTCGCCGAAATCCTGTCTGAGCCCGGAGAGCGAACTAGGAGAGTGAGCCCAGAGAGCGAGCAAGAAAACTGGGAGAGCAAACAGCCTGAAGGAGAGACGACACACCATCCAAGAGTCAGGATCCTGAGACACACACACTCCACAACATCACACACACTTAACAACATTACACACACATACAGGCTCAGAACAAGTCCCAATAACATCACAAACACACTGAGATGCGATCACACTTATACACAGAGAGGTGCGTCACTGCTGGGAAATGAAGATTTTATAGATAAATGTGGATCTTAAGATCAGTTTGACCTTCAGACCATCAGACCTGTATACATAATGTATATACAGTATATACTTTTTATATATGAGGTACGGTGAGTATATATATATAATATAAACACTTTTGTTTTTTTTAGTATTTCTGTATTTTGTGAAATATTTTCATGTAATGTGAAAGATGTGTGTTTTGAGTAAATGAACAAAAATGTGGGATTGTTTTTTTAGATTTTTTCGGTGTATAATTCTTTTTTTATTGTGAAAATTTTTGTGTTTTTTGTTTGTGAAATAGATTTTTCTGGTTGTGAAACATTTTTCTGCAGTTTTGTGTGTTTTTAAATATGTTCCTGTTTTGTGTGTTTTATGAAATGATTTTTGTGGTGATGAAATGTCTGAGCTGTTGACCTTACGGGCCACCAAACCTCATGCAGGAGGGGTTTTGAGGTATGAAGGGTCCCTTCTGTAACTCTAATGGACAGCTCTCTCTGAGGGGTTTGGGGTCACTAAAAGGTCAACTCTTCTCCCAAGTTTAATCATAATCAGAGTTGTTATTTGAAGATGTCATTGTTGGAGGAAACACAGCGGTTTTTGTTCATGGCACTGTAAATAAAGTCTTTTTACTGGATGGAGACGTCCCTGGACTGGAGCACAGCTCGTCTCTTCACGGTCTGACAAGAACAGAGAGGGATCAGCAGTCAGTCCACATACTGATCTGGGACCCGGCTGAAATCCTGATCTCACTCCAGAGCCGCTCTCTCACCGTCAGGGAAAACACTCTGGCTAAGCTCTTTGCAAAACAGCTCGATAATTCCCCAAAAGTCGGAGCGGCTCTGTGTCCTGGGCCCTGCACCTTTCTGACAGGGAGAATAAAAGAAAGAGCAAGAAGAGAGAAGAGAGGATTACGCTCTGCCCTGGTGACTCAAACATCCCCTCAGAGATGTTCTCCATTTAACTTATTCCTCTGTGCCGCTGTTTCCTCACAATAATAAGATTATTCTTACATAAGTCATGCTGCAGATTGCAAAACTTATTTAATCTCATCAGCCAAAGGGGATAAAATTAGGGCCCCTCAGAAAACTTTGTTGTCTATTAGCTGGTTTAGTTTGGCTAAGTTTTAACAGCAGGAGTGTAACTCAACGGAACAACACGTTCAGACGTCAGCGAGTGTGTCTGACATGATCTATCCTGACACTGACAGAGCTGAGGGGGCGATTACTCACTCACAGCCGGAGGGGACAGAGATGAGTAACTCCAGCTCCTGAGAAGGCAGACAGGAGGCGCTCCATGTCAGAGGGCAGACAGGAGGCGCTCTATATCAGAGGGCAGACAGGAGGCGCTCTATATCAGAGAGCAGACAGGAGGCGCTCTGAATTAGCGGGCAGACAGGAGGCACTCTATATCAGAAGACAGACAGGAGGTGCTCTATATTAGAAGGCAGACAGGAGGCGCTCTATATCAGAGGGCAAATAGGAGGCGCTCTATATCAGAGGGCAGACAGGAGGTGCTCTATATTAGAGGGCAGACAGGAGGCGCTCTATATTAAAGAGCAGACTGGAGGTGCTCTATATCGGAGGGCAGACAGGAGGCGCTCTATATAAGAGGGCAGACAGGAGGCGCTCTATATTAAAGAGCAGACAGGAGGTGCTCTATATCAGAGGGCAGACAGGCGGCACTCTACATCAGAGGGCAGACAGGAGGTGCTCTATATTAAAGAGCAGACATGAGGCGCTCTATATCGGAGGGCAGACAGGAGGCGCTCTATATTAAAGAGCAGACAGGAGGCGCTCTATATCAGAAGGCAGACAGGAGGCGCTCTATATCAGGGGGCAGACAGGAGGCGCTCTATATTAAAGAGCAGACATGAGGCGCTCTATATCGGAGGGCAGACAGGAGGCGCTTTATATCAGAAGGCAGACAGGGATGCACTCTCCACCAAAGGGCAGATAGAAGGAGCTCTATATCAGAGGGCAGACAGGATGCACTCTATATCAGAGGGCAGATTAGAGGCATTCCTACCACTCAAATCTTCAGAGAGCTGTCCTAGAAGGATGGGGGTTTGACCAGGGTCAAGATAGTCAGGGCTTTGATGCTGGGCTTGCACAAAAATGTCTAGTTTCATTCAATCCAGTTTGGCTTAGTCCAGTTTGGTTGTGGTTTGAGACAATTTAACTCTGGCTAGTTTGGATCAGTCCTCCAATTTTGGTTCAGTTTAAGACTTTGGGGCTTAGTCCAGTTTGGTTTAGTCCAGCTGAATTTAGTTTGAGATGGTTTGGCTTAGTCAAGTTTGGTTCAGTCCAGTTTGACTTAGTCTACTTTGGTTCTATAAACACTGATCTTGGTTGACTCCAAACCCTCCTCTACCCCAGTTTTTCATGCAGGAAGTGCTTAGCTTCATGATGACCTCAGCTGGCGTGATTTTTGGCGTGCATGTAAAAATATTGTATGAATCACATGGCTGCAGGTTAACTTTGTCTCTCAGCAGATTATTTGGGACCTTTTCAGCTTCCAACGATAGAAACACAATCCCTAAACCAGCTGTTAACCAGCAGGCAGTTTCTCAGTCTTACTCTGTTTCCTGCCTGCACTTAACTTTGTGCAAAAGTGAGACAGGAACCTTCATGGTCCACATTTCCACCACAGCTCTGTCTAAAGCAGGACCCAGGTCAGCTGACTGCTCTGATCATCACATCATGAATATTTTGCACGCTCCAGGCTGCTTTGCCTTAACTCTTTGATGTGGATTTGCACGCACATGACACCAGATTTATTTTTTTATTTATTTGTGCCATGACTCACATCTCTGACTGGACAGGATTCAGAGAACAGGACCAGGAGGTTCAGAAAAATCTTCATACAGTATCTGTAGGTGTTGTTGATCATTGACATTGTTGTTTTGTGTTTTTGTCAGCAAGTCCTAATGTGCTAAATCCTGGACTCATGCATGAACTCTGGAGTTTGTTAGTATTACCGACTATCACTGTGCTTTAATGGGGATGAGGTCTTTGGTGCTCAAATGTTATCAATGAAGGGCATAAAAACTAAAAAAGAAATCCGGATCTTAGCTACCATATCAGCTTGATATCATCCAGGTCTGCAGGATTGAACCAAATCCATCCAGAAGAAACAGCAGTTTCGCAGAAAGTCCTGTGTCCTCAAACCCAAACTGACATTAACACAGTAACTGCTCTAAATCGCACACGTCTGCAAATCCTCTGTAGTTTCTCCTAAGCAGCCCACACAGAGACTCTGAGGCTCATAAATGTGATTGTAATGACTGTCAAAGAGACGGCAGAGTCCTCCTCTCTGCAGACTAACTGGGATTACAGATCTGCGTCTCTGACACTGAGTGCTGATAAATCACTGTCCCATGCTTCCCCTCACTGCCCACATCACACTCGGTTAGGATCACTCCTCTGTTGCATTTATGCCAAATTACAGAGAGTCTGAGGAGAATATTCACTTTGGCTTGATACAGGAAAAAAAAGCCAGACCGGCATGAATTCAAGGAGAATTTAACAAGGAAGTTAAAGACTAAACTAATGAGGAGGTCCCTCTGCTGAGTCTAACTGTCCTTAGTTTAAGCACATAATTGTCTTTTTGCCTCCAAACTAAAATGACTATGCTCTCCTCATTAATGGGTCTTCAGTTTGCTGAAATAGCAACATCATGATGCAGATTAGTCCAAAGTCTTGAGTTCAGTTTTGTCACGTCTGCCCTCAAGAGGAGAAGAAAACTTCTTTGACAATGTTTATTTGTTGAATGAAGGTCAGATCCATTTAGTGACTCAGCATCTGTCAGATTTGTGTCTCAGTGTAAATGTTTATCTGTTAGCTGACCTTCATGCAGATATCTGTTTAAAAAGAGATAGAAATCCTCCTCAGATCACCAGCGACAGAAGCTGGAGGTCATGATGAAGGACTGTGTTCTTCCTGCTTTTGCTCTCCACACAGACTGATTTTCCTGCAGGCACTGGATGGATCACCAGAACACTTCCCAGACTTCAATACCCTCACATAAAAATTTTACATTTCTCTCTAAAATCTGTAAATACACATGAATTTAAACCCAAAGCACCATTTTCTCGTGATCTTACAGAGCATGTTGTCTAACCAGAGAGGTTTCCAGAGCTAGTGTGTAACACATTTAGTGGAGGCACAAAAAAGTAATAAAAGAAATGATGGGCTAATACTAAAGCCCTCCTCTGTGTTGCACCAGAAAGCATGAACAATAGATTCAGACATTTGTCGAGTCACGCTCTGTGTGCTCATTCAGCAGCCTGTACACCTCCTCCCTGTCATGTTACCTGATAACATAAACACAGAGTAACGTGGGAGAGTGTGCAGCTCCGAGGTGATGATAACACTGTTTTAACCTCATCTGCTCGCTGTTTGTCACGGCTGTCACTGTAGTTACACATCATCGTGCTGTATGACTCATCTGTCTGACAGCAAACTGAGGCTGAACTCCAGAGCTAGCATGCACACAGCTTGTACTGCAGCATAATCACATTTACACAGAGAAGAAAGTCAGTGTTGGAAATCTTCCATACCTTAAAGTACACATTCAACGGGTTGATTTCTTGGCTGTTAACACCAAGAAGTTTTCATTCTGTAGTTTTAGGGGCACAAATCTCTCCTTTACATGAAAATTTAATCCAGATCTTACCATCATGATCCAATTTAGAGACAACCAGGGACCCAGCAGACCAGGTTCAGTAAAATGTTGTTTAATTTTAAGCTGCTTAGGGTCTCCTTTGTCTTATTTTGGTGTCATGATGCTCCAAATGTTTTCAATTTGGGTACAAATCAGGACTGCAGGCAGACCAGTTTAGCAACAGGACTCTTCTACTACAGAGCCATGCTGTTGTAATCCCTGTGCAGTATATGTGGTATACAGAATTTACATGTTGGATCATGTTTCTATCTGGTTTCCTCTTTGCATGGTTCAGTTTTAACCTCATTTGTGAATGCAATGATAAACGGTTTTCACAGACAAAAGGTTTTTAAAAAAAAAAATCTCTGCAGAATAGTGGAGAGGTGGTGAGTATGGGTAAGTGGGGCTAACAGGGCATTTACTGTATGTAGTTGCACAAGACACCGGTCGTGATTCAGCTCTTGGACTGTAAAAAGACAGATTGATATAACAGATGCATGGAAATATTCTGTGTAAGAAAAGGAAAGTATTTCCTGGCATCCTCACACACATGCCTAGAGCTTGTACAAAATTTTTCAAAGAGGGAATCAGAGATGGCCCGCTCCCCCCAGGTTCGGTGCTTGGGCCGAACCAACAGTGCATGATTATCGTTGCCAGTAACATCAAATTCAATCCAAGTTTATTTATAAAGCACATTTAAAAACAGCAAAGTGCTGACCAAAGTGCTGTACGGTAAAGAGAAAAATAATTTAAATAAATAAAAACAGACAATTAACACAAACAATAAAACAAAGACACAGGACCACATTAAAGCTCGGTCACCCCTGAACTTCAATCTTGACCAAGGGACGGTCAGAAGACACTAATCTGAGAGTCTGAGATAAAATATGGGGTTTGAAAAGGTCAGAGAGGTAAAAAGGAGCAAGCCCGTTTCAAGATTTATCTAAATTAATAACAAAATTTTAAAATCAATCCTAAAACGCACAGGAAGCCAGTGAAGAGAGGCTAAAATGGGGGAAATGTGGTCATATTTACAGCGACCAGATAAAATACCAGCTGCAGCATTTTGAACCAACAGGAAGCGATTTAGAAAGTAAAGTGCATAACAATAATCAAGAATGGTTGTGATAAAAGCATGCATAACCTCCTCAAAATCACTAAAAGATTAAAGAGACATGTCTTAGTGTTTATTTTGCTTTTGTTTTTTTTTTTAGAAACCAATGGAAATGCCGAACATTGCTTAACATGGTTGATATTGCTGTCAATCCTCAAAATTACAATCCAATAAGAACATAGGCGACTGTTTGACCGAATCAGAGTGCATACAGGTGTGCAGATGGTTTAAGTATTAAGTAGTTTTACCCAACAACATATGGAGTCAAGTACTATTCATGTGTGTGTTATGCCAAACTCCACATGATACGCTGGTTGACTGGATTTAATATGTGACTCTCAGCTGACATCGTTTTTTGTCTCCACAAACCTTTCCTCCCACTGACCAGAACCCCTTGGAGTAAGGGTAATAGGCAGAAAAAGACGGAGAGAAGATGGTGACCTCCTTACGGTGGTTTTGAGACCATGCAGTGATTTCCACTCCAGAGTCCTGTCTGTGCTGCCTCTTAGTTTTTAGTCA